AGACGGGATTTTTCCGAACGTCCGCTTCATCCACGAACTTCCAGAGACTCGTGTACAAAAGGAAAAGCCCGTTGGCGCTTATCCATTGTAGACTCGTGTACAATCCTTCCGACCCGAAGTATCGGAATTCTAGGATAACATTATGCTTGTAAAATATTTCCTTGACAATATTGCACGTGACGTTGGTGTAATAAACTCGGAGAAAATATAAAACTGTCTGTATATCGTCCGAATTAGGTTCGAAAGCTATGTTATCTGCAAATATGGCGGCTCCAGAATACTCTGTGCGATGTACGTATTCCCAATGAATTTCTGAAAATTTGCATTATTTTATTTATAGAATTTGGAAATACATATTATGAAAATTTATCGAATACCTTCTTTCCAAATGTGATACTCATAATTTGGCAAATTCCTTATCGAAAATCTCCACTTTGTCGAATTTATTTTACCGTCGGATGGGTAAAATTTAAATTCAAATCCTGTCAGGAGTTCATTAATACTTGGGATTCTATATTTCTCGAGAGGTTTTGTGATGTCGGTCGTAATTATGGCGTCATAGAATGAGCTAATCGAAATCATTGTTACAATACAGAGTAATCCAATCCACGTTAATGATTTCCTGGAAATTATAATATTATCCAGAATCAGTTGAGATATTGATTTTAAGAAATGATCAATTTACCCGTTTAGAATCGGTTCTCTCAGAAACGTTGCAGCAATGTCGGAATATCCCCCCAACTTTGTGATCCCTAGAAATAGTGAGAGTAAAATACACGCAAACCAAATCCAGGGGTCAATAATAGTGAAGAACTTTGAGATTTTTAAAGATAACAAGGTCGGATTTTTCTGACAGTAGAGCATATAATAGTCCAAATTTTTTTCAATGTGATATTTATCCCCGATTTCCAAGCGTAAGTCTTCGGCTTGTTTGCCAATTTTGAACTTTGAGAATTGGTTCGATGCATCGCTGAAAGTCAACCATTGAGATTAAAGGATCAATCAATTTCAATGTCAATCAACTAAATTTGCTTTACCGAGATGCAGAAAATGTAAAATTTAGTTTCCTCTTAAGGGCCTGCAATGCTCCGTATCCAACAAAACAGGGTGACCCGGTGGATACAAAGTAACGAAGATTTTCACAATCAAAGTTTTCAATATAATATGCCCAACTGGAACGAAGCGGTAATTTGAACAGGTTTTGATTGTAGTCGAACAATCGTCTAGATTTGGTTAACTCGTCTCCGGATGGAAACTTATAGGCAATTTGTCCCCCTTTTTCAGGGAATATTTCCCAGCGTTTCACACCAGAATAATGCGATGGCTTGAGTAGCACTGTACTCATCGTTACACCTGAGGCTACTTGTACAAAATCTAGTTTTATTAAATAGATTGGTATGGAATAAGTGCACAGTTTTGCGAAAAAGGTCGAACTCCTTGCCAATTCATCGTAACTAAAGGTTGTAAATACCATGAATAATACGACATTGCTCTGGAACCCCCAAATGTCAAGATGGTTAAAGATAAATTTTTGATCACCAGCTTCATAAAATATGACGATTTCGATACAACTTGTTTTCCAAAATGGAAAAGTTTCTAAATTTATTGCATCTCTGGAATGCAAGTGTTTCACGACAATTCCGCTGTGATGAGCGAACGATAAGTGATTATTGTACTGAAGATTTAGCATTGGAACGAATGGATAAGTTATTTCGAGCTCTTGCATTAAACCGACTTGTAGTAAACACATGGGATTGTAGTTGAAATTTGTGAATGAAACGACAGCGTGTATCATTGAGTTTGTCAGAAATATTACAAATATATTTTTCACCATGTTGACATATGTATTATGTTAGCGTAAGTCATGTTCTGTAAAATATGTAGAAGTGGGTAATTTAGGCACAAAAATATATTTTCCTACATACGTGCAGAGAAAAATAAGAATAGTGGTAAAAATGCGAAAATATTGTATATATTAATGAGCTACAATAATCAGAACTGTGACATAGAATAAGATAAGTTCGAGCTGAATTAATGGATATGACTAATTATGCAGGTCTTTGTTCGAGTTTTTAATTTAAACTTATCAAAAATACCCGCGTATATATTTATATATACATAAATAAACTGCGGCAACGCAGGGTACCCAAGTAGCGCAAGAATGCTGAGAATGCGACACAAAATAACTCAAACGATGATTGCAGAATCTGAATTGCTTAAAAATAAAAAAATAATTGCGATTTCCTCATTCTATATTGCCACTCTGAAAAACTATGCATTTTACCTGCTTTATTGTTTCCTAATTAATCCTAATTAAATCCTAATTAATCCTAATTAATCAATCTTACTGTTTGATATGTCCTACATGTTAGACCCAATATTTGTATTAATCTCATTTTGCCCCAACCACACCCTCCGAGTGCTAGATGGTGTGGCACAACTCGGTAATACCTAATTCAACTCTATTTCATCCACAGATTTAATTTTGAAAAAATCTCATTTTACCCCAACCACAAACCTGCTCGCGAGGGCGTAGCACAACTTGGGAACACTAAATTTAACTGCCCTGCATCCATAGATTCAATTTTTCTAACAATCTCATTTTGCCCCAACCGCACCCACTTTACTCGAGGGGGTGTGGCACAACTTGGAAACACTTAATTTAACTGCCCTGCATCCATTGATTCAATTTTTCTAAAAATCTCATTTTGCCCCGACCACACCCACTGCGCCCCAACCACACCCACTGGGCGCGAGGGGGTGTGGCACAACTTGGGAACACTAAATTTAACTGCCCATCATCCATAGATTTAATTTTTCTAAAAATCTCATTTTGCCCCGACCACACCCCCTGGCGCTCCGGGGGGTGTTGTCCGGTTGACTTAGAAAGTTTACAGGATCCTCCCCCTAGGCTCATATGTATGATGGCGAAAACCGATTTCAATTATCTCGATCCGTTCTCCTGTTATCGTGTTGACAGACGGACAGACAGACAGACAGACAGACTAACTAAGTCATCGCATAAAGTAGCTTGCGCTACTTAATAAAAGGTCACGTGGAAAGGCGCTTTCGACCTGTGTTGTAGGGAAATTGGTTAGGAAACTTTGGATGAAAACGGTTGTCAAAAATATTGACCCGAATCTTAGGAGTAGAAGGTCGCAACTTGTCGGCGCCCGATTTTAATCTCCTTTGGATATGTTGTAGTACTATATGAGTGTAGAAAAAGTGAAGGAGGCTTAGACCCCATGAGCCCATTTACGCCCGCCACACCCCCTCAAACTCGCCCTAACCCCCAGAGTTGCCGCACTAAATTCATCGCCAAAAATCGAGTTTTGGTCCGATTTTCAAGAAATTTACATTTTTGTGATCCCAGATAGTTTCTCTATCATATCCAATAGCAAACTCAACTTTTTTGAAATTTCGAATTTTTTCAATACCCTTGGTCAGAAAATCTTCGATAATATTGAAAATTTCAAAAAAGTTGAGTTTGCTATTGGATATGATAGAGAAACTATCTGGGATCACAAAAATGTAAATTTCTTGAAAATCTGACCAAAACTCGATTTTTGAATCGATGAATCTAGTGCGGCAACTCTGGGTGTTTGGGCGCCTTTGAGGGGGTGTTGCGGGCGTAAACGGGCTCATGGGGTCTAACCCTCCTTCACTTTTTCTACACTCATATGTATAGTACTACAACATATCCAAAGGAGATCAAAATCGGGCGCCGACAAGTTGCGACCTTCTACTCCTTAGAATGGCACCTTTTTGTTGTCATATGAACCTTTTTATGCTACACCAGGATTTTGTGTCAAAAGTGCAAACCAGAAATTAGAAATTGTACTCCTCCAGTATTTCTGTGCATGTGCACTGGCCCCTACAAAATATTGCTGACAAGGTTCATATATCCACACGTTTTCGCCTCAACTCGTATGGATTTTCGTCTAAAAATCCATACACCGTTTCTTCTACCCATTTTTCACTTATCATAAACTCCTCCGTCCCTTATGTAGTTCAAAATTGTTACACAAAATTTAAATCCAAAAATTTACCTATGTTTTCAAGCTGATTTTAATTTCCACTATTGCTACACAGATTTGTTTATTCGTCGCAACAAAGTGCAGGAGTCATAATTATGTATGTAACCGCAAATTAATTTTTGCAATATCAGCAAATATGTATGTACATACATTATGTGTGACACATATGAATGTGTACACAACTAAAAAAACTGAACTGATATCAATTGAGAAAATATATAGTCTGGGGCAGACTACAGTTCTGTATTTCAAATCAAACACAATTTGGAAACATATCTTGTACTTTATTTCCTATTGTCATTTCCATAATTATGTATTTAGTCCCTAAATTTTAGGCAGACATACATACTTACATACATTTCAGCTTCATAAGTCAACTAAATCGCAGTTATTTATGAACACTTATTTATACATAAATATGCATATACATGCAAACTTACATACGCAATCTTTCCAGCATTCGTATACAAATACATATTATTTAATCCAACCTGTACTTACATAGATATGTCCATAAGTAATGTGTGTGCAATCACACCACAATTTTTCCATGCAGCTTATTCTTCACCGGACAGTCAATTACAGATATATAAATATAACTACGCAGTGGCCGCGGAAGCGTGGCGACAGAGGGACAATGTCCGTCCCCACAGGTATTTGAGGTCATCATTATCCCAGCATTCTATGTAACGCCTCCCACCCCCCACCCCTATCCTTCAATGTTAATGTCCCCAGATGTCCCCACAGCTTCCGCGGCCACTGTAAACTACGGTCAACTTACATAATATTTACGCTGCAAATGAAACGTCACAATCAGTGCTTATGTATGCATGCATTTAAACACTCGCATTTCACATTGCATTGCGCATTGATCCTCTTTACGTATTTCTGCAGGTTTCCCCTTCTCTCTGCTTTTTTGCTGCTTACGTACTTCACATTCCACACTCTATCCCACTCATTCTTTTGCCCCCATTCTCCTCTCATCTCCGCAATGCTCACTTCCAGCGTATCCCTCCATGCTACACTCTTCTCCAAAATGCAAAACACGCTTGCAGCTGGAATCCTAAATAAAACGTCTATGCGCATAAGAGTGCAAGGAGAGAAAGAGTGAAGAGGAACAGAACTGTGAGCATAAAAAACGGCGAAATAGTTGCAGTTTAATTTCAAAAAGTAACACTGCAAAACAACTTTATAAATTGAAACATCATAAAACAAGGTAAAGTACGGTGTAAGATTATACGAAGAAGTGAAAGTAAACGTTAAAGGAATAGGTAAGTGAAAAGAACGAAATAGAATAGGAGAAGAAATTTGTAATAGAAATTATTTAATCAAAAAGTTGCAATTTAAAGTATGAATTGTAACTATTTACAGAATGGATATGAAGGAGATTGAGGGGACGGTGTGGGTCGTTCTAGTGTCGCAGGACGAGAGGAAATTGGCGGATGAAAAATTACTCAACATTACCTCGGCTTTACCCCCCTCGTCGTTACCCTTGCCCCCAACGACGACGGCGACGTCTGGTAAGAGAAACTGTGTATTAATATGCATTTATTATGCATTAAAAAGAAATGTCTTAACCTCTTAACGACCAAGTACATACACATATTTGTGTACTATTTTATTTATTTACCGTTCAGCCACCTTTGTGCACACTTGCTAGTTTGTGGTTCGCCGAACCACTGGTGGTTCGGAAGTCCCGAACCGAACCGAACCCCGAACCGAACCTGGTTCGGTTCGTGGTTCGGTTCGGTGAGTTTAAGAAAAAAAAATTGGTTCGGTTCGGTTCGGTTCGGAAAATTTTTTAAAAATTTCTGGTTCGGTTCGGTGCGGTTCGGAAAATTTTTTAAAAATTGCTGGTTCGGTTCGGTTCGGTTCGGGAATTTTTTTAAATTTGTTGGTTCGGTTCGGTTCGGTTCGATTAAACGAGAACGACTAACTACTTCTGTTTATTATTTTTTATGCAGTCCTGGACGTCATCGCTCATTGCTAACAACATTGCAATGATGACGTCGAGTGTTTCTCATCATAAAGAAGAATATTAGATGTTTTTTCTGATGATGCCCCATCTGCTGGGAACAAAATTGGACTATGTTGGTTCGGAAATACCGAACCCAACCACGAACCGAACCGAACCAGGTTTGGTTCGTGGTTCGGTTCGGGAATTTTTTCTTAATTTACTGGTTCGGTTCGGTTCGGAAAATCTTTTACAAATCGCTGGTTCGGTTCGGTTCGGGAAATTTCTTAAAAATTGATGGTTCGGTTCGGTTCGGTTCGGGAAATTTCTTAAAAATTGATGGTTCGGTGCGGTTCGGTTCGGGAAATTAAAAAAAAATTATTGGTTCGGTTCGGTTCGGTTCGATTTCACAAACTAGCAAGTGTGCCTTTGTGCAATATTTCATTTTCCTTTGCCGACGAAATCCATAAATGTGTATGTGTACTGACTAAATTCCTTTGGCACTAAAATTTATAAACGAACAGTATGCATTTCTTTTGTATTTTGGGAAAACTCGATGGTAAAAATGGATTTATTTCGGTATTTTTCTTCTAAAATTTTTGATATTTTCCTATACCGACCAGTGTTAACGATTCATTTTTTTCAAGTTTTGTTGTAATCATGAAATTAACATCGTGTTTAAGGGAAATTTTATTTAAAAATCTTAAAAATTAAAAATTTTATTTACAAACTTTATTTAATCCGTAGTACGAAAGAGGTTAATACAAATACATAAATTGATGCTAAGGAAATGTAGCAAAAATACGACACATTTAACCTCATTTTTGTACCTACATATGTGCAATTCCCATCTTAAAACTTATCCATGCAGACAGACAGACAGTCTTTCCGTTCAAGAGTTATCGGACCAAAAGACAGACAGACGGACAGACAGACAGACGGACAGACAGACAGACGGACAGACAGACAGACGGACATAACGATCTTATAAAGGGCTTTCACCCCTTAATAATTATTTGAATGGTAACGCGACCATTCTGCGTAATCGTATTACAATGCTAGCATTCCTAAGGGGCCGTACATAAAAGGGATGTGATCGATTTTCTGTAAATTTTGACCGATATGATCTATACACCCCATGTTATAATTAACATGAGAAGGATAGAGCCTTGACCCCCCACCCCACCCCAGGATCACATGCTTTATGTACAGTCCCTACTCAAACGCCAAGCAATCGTGGCAACCCCGGCACTCTTCTCAAATTGTTTTGCATATTAACCTCACCGCTCGTGTCCCCTCTCGGAGTGGGTGAAGCCAAGTTAGAGAAAATCAGTCCATCTGAAAATTTTAGCTCAGAAATTGGTCAATATTTTAGAAACCCTTCTTCCCCCAATTTCAAATAGTTTTTGAAAATTTTCCAGGAATTGATGATTATTACTGATTTCAAAAATTCTTAAATTAAAATTCCGCTATAATGAAATTTATAATAAATCAGGTCCAAAATCACCCAAATTACTACATGATGAAAAATAAAAAAATACGGGTACTTATACTCATTTTTGTGCTGATAAAAAGAATTGGTCACCTAGAAATCTGAGTTTTACTTTACACTTAAAAGACCTGCATTTTGAGTCAATTTAGCACAACGAAACTCATATCTTGCCGCAGGAATGATTTCCAATTTGTCTGCTAAGTAATAACGTCATTTTAAATTATTTTCAGAAACCTCTTCCACCTGCACCTCCAACATTTCTCAAGACTACGTAGCCCTAACCCCGTCCGACCCATTGGCCCCGCCACCACCCAACCCGCCCAAACCCAAACCTTACCCTTGCCCCATCTGCCTTTCCGTCGAGGTCAATCGCGCCTTCGCGAAACCTTCCCTCCTACGCGCTCACCTCAACTACCATAAGCGCGTGGGTCGCGCCATCCTCACCGGAGTGGGGGTGCGAATTCCCTCATCCAAAGATGCCGATGGGCTATTCACCTGCCAAATTTGCGATGGGCGGACGTTCACTAAAGCCAAAGAGTTTCGGAGCCATCGAAATTTCCATAGTTTTTTGAGAAAGAAGTACGGAGAAGACAGACCGATCCGTATGAGGGGAGAAGTATTCGCATCGCGTACAATCCCGATACAGGTAAAGTCTTGGTTAATAAAATTGCCTATAAATAATGTCACTAACAAATATTTAAAATAATCAAAACCGGTCATTTCAAAAATTACTCGTCGTATACATTTCAAAAAATAACAAAAACTAATATTTGTATGAACAATTTGTTAACGCTATTTTGTTAAATTTCGAAAAACGTGTTGTAGAGAAAAAACCTATCAGGACAGCTTTGCGGAGCCCGACCCAGGGTTAATTGTCACCCCATAGGGTCCTTCCAGATATAATTTTTTCAAATTCCAATGTATAATCTTCCCTGAAGAGCCATAAGAAAACTAAATGCCAAATTTTAGTTCGATATGACGACTTTGAAAAATCAGTAGGGGTCACCCCATAGGGTCCCTCAAGATGAAAAATTTTCCAATTTGAGTTCATGTCCTTCCTTTAGGACCCATTTACTACCTCTGTACCAAATTTCAGCTTTCTACTATAATTTTGAAATTTTGGTGCATGATACCCCGCCCACTCCGATGACCCCCACCGGTCAACCACTTGACCGATGTCGCCCATCTTCGAACTCGAGTTGTGTATTTACATAGTATACATGTGTGAAAAATTTCAAGTCGATCGGATAAGTTTTACGAGAGTTATCGTTAGATGGACAGACAGACAGACAGACAGACAGACATCACGGGTACATAAGCCCTGGGTCGGGCTAAAAATTATGAATCTCTTGGTGCTCGTGGAATTTAAATATTTTTTTTTTCATCCTCGAGAAATCCAGTACCCCCGTTTTCGCACCTTTCAGCCCCTCCCCCACAGGCAAAGGGGGGGAAGTAAACCCATACTATTGGCGCCTTTGGACTCACAAAAATCACCTCTTCAAACTGTACAAATCTGAATAAAATCTTTATATCGCTCGAAATTCGGGAAATTTTGATTATTCTTACCCATTCATGATATTAGATTAGAGTTATAATGAGGGTATTCATTTTGAGTTCGCATCGTTAGCAACTTTCGTAAAAAAATAAAGTTCGCAAGTTCGCAAAAAAGTTTGACTTGAAAATCAATTTGCGAACTTGCGCATCTCCAAGGCTAGTATTTGGTTCGCAAAATATTTTTTTTTACAAATATGGACAATTTTGCAATGGGAAGTCCATAAATCTCCATTAGTTATCAAAGTTTTGACTTTTAAAATTTTTGAAATTTTATATATCAAATTTTTACGAACTGTCATTTGCGAAGTCTTCACTTCGTTGCTTCGCAAAATTCGCAATTTCGAAAAAAATATGTTGCGATGCGAACATGCGAACTCGCAATGAATACCCTCAATATTTACTAATTCTATTTGATGTTTCTTCTTTTCAGGAGAAGTACACCTGTTTCTACGCCAACTGTGAAAAGGAAACCGACGACCGCCAAAAATTCTTAGACCATTTGAAATTCCACCGCCGCAAGGAACGCGAAGGTCGAACAACGTCCTCACATTTAGGACAAAGACGCTCCTCCATTCCTCGCCTGGAAGAATACAAATGTTCCAAATGCGATAAGGTGTACCCAGGAAAGTCCCGGGATGCTTATCGCTACCATATGCGCCGCCACGACGAGCTGGAGAAAGCAGAAGAAAAGAGGAAACTCCGACTGGAACGGTTACGCCCGGACATTCCGATGCAAGACTCGTATTTTTGTGAAATGTGCCAAAGGACGTTTACGGACAGGGTGCAGTACGTGAACCACTTAAGGGCCCACGCCCGCTTGGCCAGGGAGGGCCAGGACAGACCCATTGCGGAGAAGAGGGAGAGGAACGACCAGGATGACGAGGGGGAGGAGGAAGACGAACAGGATTTATATTGCCAGACTTGTGACAAGAATTTCAACGATAAGGGCAAATTTAGGTGAGGCTATATTTTTTATTCTATGTGTGCAGGCCTAGATAAGTTACGATGAGTCTTATCCACATTTAACAAAAAGTCTAGAGCTTCTTGAAACCATGAAATTCGGGTGTAAATTGCATTTTATTCATTTTTACTCATTTGAATGCATGCAATGTATGCATACTTTGATATGCATTTCAAAATTTCCATGCATTTTATGCATTTCCATGCATTTTATGCATTTCCATGCATTTTATGCATTTCCATGCATTTTATGCATTTCCATGCATTTTATGCATTTCCATGCATTTTATGCATTTCCATGCATTTTATGCATTTCCATGCATTTTATGCATTTCCATGCATTTTATGCATTTCCATGCATTTTATGCATTTCCATGCATTTTATGCATTTCCATGCATTTTATGCATTTCCATGCATTTTATGCATTTCCATACATTTTATGCATTTCCATACATTTTATGCATTTCCATGCATTTTATGCATTTCCATACATTTCATGCATGTCTAAGCATTTCTATGAAATTTACGTTTCATATGCAGAGTATGAATGCAAATGCCTAAAAAATTAGATTGTTTCCCAAAAAATAAAACACTCTTAAAAATCCCGTCCTTACTTTCAATCTCCACCTGCTAATTTTCCCCACTTTTTTTTCTTTTTAATTCCAGGGGTCACATGTCCTAACACCGCCAACTCCAATCGCAAGGCCCGACCACCCTATCACCACGCCTCCTTCCGCCTCCACGTGGAAGTCCGAAATCCCCCACGACCTCCCCTCCTACCCCTGCCCCACGTGCCCAGACCGCTCCTTCTCCACGCGACACTCCTTCATCTCCCACCTCACGATCCACCGCTCTCTAAAACGGAAAGGCTGCGACCGCCCCGTCCTCAGCAAGGAGGAGTGGTCCAAGCTCAGCCGGAAGCAATCTTCCTGCACCGTCTGCTCCCTAGAGTTCGAAAGCGTCCGAAAACTAAACCAGCATGAAAAACAAGCCCACCCCAACCTCGACCCCACGCCGCCCCCAAGGGAACGGGTGGACCCTTGGAAATCCCTCGTTCCTCAGCAGGACACCCCGTACAGCTGCGACATTTGTCCGGAACGCCTCTTCCCCGACCGGGACGTCTTCATCGGCCATCTGAAACATCACAAATCCCTGCAAAGAAGGGGGGAAGACCGCGTCATCTTATCGAAAGAGCAGTGGAACGAGCACCGCAAGCAGTTAAAGCTGGCCGCCGCTTCGACCCCGAGGACTTCGTCCCAATTCCATTGTTCCACCTGCTCGAAAAACTTCTGGAAACGGGTCACCTTCCGGAACCACATGCGGTATCATGCCATCCTCCTCAAGAAAGGGGAGGGGGACAGGGTTATCAATCCAAGACAGCGGCATTGGAAGGAGCAGGTGCCTTATCGGGACGAATATGACTGCGATAAGTGCCCCGAACGCCGGTTCGCCGATAGGGAAGGGTACATCAGACATTTGACGTATCATAAAGTGTTGGAAAGGAAGGGGAAAGGGGGACAAGAGATAAAGAAGCGGATTAAGAGGGAGGACCTGGAAAAAACTGGGAGGCAGTGTGATATCTGCGAGCGGGTTTTTTACACGTGGCAAACCTACAAAGGTCACATGGCGTACCACAAGAGGATCAAGAAGATCACGGGGGAGGATAGGAAGATTGAGAAGAAGGAGGAGCTCACAGAAAGGGCCAAGATTGGTTTAAAGACGGGAAAAAGTAAGACTTTGGTGGAGGACTTGATCGGAGTTTTGGAACAGTTCGGGTGCAGTTGTGGGGTCAAGTTTTACTTTAAGGATGCCCTATCGCACCATCTCCAGCAGGCGGGGAAGAATGGAAGAAATGCTGAGTGTAAGGAGGTCGTGGTTAAGAAGGAAGTTCCAGAGAGGGAAGAAATTGAACAGAACGCTGTAAAGACGGAGGAGGTTAATGGTATAGGACATATTGCAAAACTAATTGTATCCAAACCTATGGCGCGTGAGGTAAAACTAAACTTGAAAATGGTACATGAAAATGGAGGTGAATTACAAGAACAGGAAATGCGGATAGAGGAACATTGTCCGGAAAATGAAATGGATGAAAATTCTTTGGAACATGAAATGGAACAAGAAATTCCCCATGAAACTGAAATGCACGAAATTCCTGTTGACAACGAAGGGGAAGAAGATCCCCTTGAAAATGAGATGGAGGAAGAAGATTTCGAAAATCACCAAGTTTCCGACGATTTTGAACATCTCGCGGAAGATGATGCTGTTAATGGAGAAAACGACATTAAAATTGAAATTAGTAAAGTGAATCAATTATATCAGCAGCTACCACAAGAAAATCACGAAGCTAGTGACGAGTGTGTGGAAGACGATGACGATTCTATGTCATTCTTTTACAAGTGTCAAACTTGCCAAGCTGATAATCCTTCACTGACGGAATATTTGAGGTGAGCAATTTTGAATTTAATGATAAAAACTTGAACGGACTTGATGGGGTGTGTCACCAAATTCACATATTTGAGTAAAAATATGGAAGTTAAAGCCAAGTATTCAGGAAGGATTTTTCCTGCGAAATAGCAACTTTTGTATTGAATTACTATTTCCCTCGAGTTACATACTGATTTTCATTACAATTAATACTAAAAGGCAATAATTCTATATTACTTCAAGTTTTTAGCGTTTTTCCGAGATTTGTGTCGGATGGACACTTTTTCTAATTCATCCGAACAGAATCCAAATTTTTTGGTGAAAGAAAATATATCCGAACCGAATCCGATTCTTTCGGTTGGAAAAAAATATCCAAACCGAATGATTCGGATTCAGGTCCGGGTTCTTTTGCTAAACCTTTAAATTTTGTCCTGAGTACTATGCTTAAAGCAACAGTCAACTTACAAAAACACTAATTTATTTCTCTTCAATTCCTATAGGCACCAATTTCTCAACCACCTCGTTGACCAGACGACTCCGCTACCTTGTCCATTTTGCGCCGCCCAATTTGTCCTGGGGTCCGCGCTTTTTCTCCACTGTAAAGACGAGCATGGGGAAATATCTCTAGTGACCGAATTCACCCTTGCCTGCCCAGCCTGTGCGGACGTCATCCAAATTAATTCCATTATTAACGACGGTACTCAGATGGAGCTTCATTTCAAACGAAATCATCCAACCATGGTGTGTCGCATGTGCGGAAAGTTCGTGTCCAACCAGACCCTCCTCAATAAGCACATTGTGACGGAGCACTTGAAGAAAAAGAAGTAAATTTTCACTAAATATTTAGAGTTGTAAGCAGTAATATCGCCCCTATTTTCAAAATCTTGTACTGTACACTCTTAGAAATGGGGTTACAATTATACATAACCAAACAGTAAATGTACATGACTCTACCGGCGTGGTTATGAATTTGTCACCGCCTGGTTATAAATTTAATAGCTCTAGTGACAATTTATCTGTAATACCAAGTCGGTGAAACTTTATAATTAGTGGGTGACAATTGTAACCACTCAATGACAAAATTATAACCACGGCGGTAGAGTCAGATACGTTTACTTTTTGGTTATAATCGTAACCCCATTTCTAAGAGTGTACGAGAGAAAGACGAATACAAAAGCCGAAGAATATTGTGAGCAACCTGGCTCTTCTGTATGTTAAAATACATGCTCAAAAAAAATCCTGACGACGCGACAGAAACAAAGAATTGCATAAACTGTCCAGTATGTAAAATAGTGAAGTGTAGAGACCGGATGGAGAATGGAAAACCAGACAGTTTCAGGTTACGGGTTCAGTTTGGAGCTGACCCTACAAATATCTCACGACCAAGCTAACTCGACGAACTCGCACTTAAAACTCTGTATGAGATGTGACTGATTTTTATGTTAAAGTCTGCTGTAGGAGTAGCAATTATGTACCATATAAGAATGTAGATTGGAAGAAAGGAGATTATTAAGAGATTGGATGGGAAAGAGAGAGGAATAAAGCAACGTAACTCAAGTCGTACCCACACGAGAATATTTGCTGTTTTTCATACATAATTATTACTGCATTGCTTTGCAAATAATGCAAATTACTACATTTTGACCAGATGAATTATTAAAAGTCATCTCACATTTTCTAATCACACCATTCACACAAATAACACATAACTCAGCAGCACATAAATAAACCCAACTTTCCACAGTTGGCTCACAATATACATAATTCGTTAATATCTACAATTTTGAAATACAAGCATATTATGTACCATGCACAGAAATTTAGACGTGTATACACATTTAGAACAAAAATTCTCGAAATATGTACATCTGGGAAAAAATTATCGCAGAATATTTATACTTGCATCAACTTATATTTACTTAATAAAGCTCAAAACAAGACTTACTACTTTTTAGCTGAAAATGTAATGTCTACAAATATGTATATTAGTTTTAATTATAAATCCTGTGAAAATAGAACAATCAAATAGCCTAGTGACTTGGGAAATGCGAAGAGATCAAAAAGTTTGGTCGAGTTTTTAATTTTTATAAATAATTAGTGTTATTACTTAAAAGGCTGAGACTGAATTTCTAAATAAATTCCAATAAAATATTTTTCGGTAAATTATGTCCATTTTTTTAACTAATTAGTTTTTGCATTTAAAGGGTTGAGATTCTATGCATAAATGTGTTGTACTTATTTATTTATAAAGCAAAAAATAACGATATCAGTGGGATCTTATGTTTCAATTTAACCTTCTAAACAAGTCCTGCTTGGACCCAGGGTGGAGATTCTGACTTCAAAGCAGACCCTGAAACGTACATATACGAAATGCAAATTTATCGAAATATTAAACCCTGATATTGGCTTTGGGGCTATCCATAAATTACGTAACGCAAGAGGGGGGAGGGGGGGGTCTAAGGCTCCAATGATATCGTGCCTATGTTACACATGTTAAAGGGGGGGGAGGGGGGGTCTAGAAAATCGCGATTTTTGCGTTACGTAATTTATGGACGGCGCCTTTACAAATTTGTATTTAAATACATACATACATACTTATCAATCATGCATGTACGTACATATGTATGTTTATTCATTGTAGTATAAATTGTATCGCAGAGATGTACAACCACCACTTTAATACTTAAAAATTCATTGCGTTATTCCAAAATTCAAGCCTGGAGATCAAAAAATGATATAACAAATCTTTGACGAAAATACGTATTTTATATTTTATCCGGGAAATATCGAGAAATGTGCGAACTCATGCATATTATGGAAATAGCCGTGGACCGCGTAAGCATTATTTAATTTATGTAGACTTTGACATCTTTAATTTTGAACATACATATTCAAGTATGTAAAGCCACACTATGTAGTTGCATAAATTAATTTCTGCGTTTTCAATCTCTTTTTTAGTGTAACTTTCATGCATATCAGTCATTAAATTCATCAAGAAATAGCACATCAACTTACGACTACCCCTACCCCTACTAATAAAAAAACAAAAAAGACGCATTTGTACGATGCATCGTACAAATTTTCTATGCAAAGCCATTGCTTTGCATAGAAAACGCAATGTTATCAAAAACATTAGTCCCTGTAATTACCCATGGTCGTCTAATAACAATTAATTTATTTCCGCTTTCGAACGCAAAAATTCTAAAGTTTTATTTATTTATTTCCCTTTTCAATACTTCACCCAAAAATTGAAACATTCTTCACAATCACCATTCATACAGAATTCTGAAATCCATAAATGTTCAGTTTTAGAATAAGTTGGTATTAATCATTATATTTAAACGGTTTCTTCTTGGCACGTGTATGCATATGTTATACCGAGTAGATGTGCATATGTGGTTGGCATAGACCATGTCATGTAATAAAAGACATTAGTTCTTGTAATGACGCACGATCGTTTAATAAAAATTAATGAAGCTTTATTGTCGGCGTATTAAGCCCAGCATAATTACCGGAAGCCGTGTTGATCGTGGAAGAAAACCAATCAACTATTTGAACTTACACTGCCGAGATATATTATTTGGTGGTGGTAACGCTTGGTATTGAAATGCATTTTTCTGGAATACTGACAAAGATATTCCGGTGATTATTTTTGCATTTAATAGACAAATTAACTGCGAATATAATACCAGAAAATCAATTTCGAAAGATGAGTCTGTGTGGGGTAAATAAATCTTCTCCCGCGAACACTTAAAACCAAGTTGGGAAAAATTATTTGGTATTTTGTTCCCTCCTCTAAAAACTATTTAATTGGAGCTGGTAAGTACTTTTTTTAGCATTACATAAATAGATTAAGTATTTTTCTTTTATTTACCAATAATTTTGACATTAATAGATAATGCAACGTAAGGGGAAAGAAACGTCATTTGAGATTCGCCAATTGGTCATCTAATATCACAAGGGGGATGGCACTGGTAAGAAAACTCAAAAAGAAATTTCAACACTACTCAAAATACCTCCCTCGACGGTCCAGTATATAATTTCCAAATACAAATCAACCGGATTGATCGTTAATAAGCAAGGAAGAGGTCGGAAGCCAATATTTACTACGAGGGAGAAGCGTGCTATTGTCAAGAAAATCAAGGTCAATCCAAAATTGACAATTTTTAAAATTAAAACTCAGGTTGAAAATGAAACTGGAAAAAATGCTGATCGTAAGACTATTTCAAACGTGCTGAAATCTGAAGGATTCAAGAGTTGCAGAGCAAGGAAGAAGCCTCTCATATCCAAAGCGAATCTTAAGAAACGACTTGCGTTTGCAAAGGAGCACGTCAACAAAGGCAAAAATTTCTGGGATTCAATTTTATGGTCTGATGAGAGCAAATATAATATTTTCGAGTCAGACGGGCGTGCTAGGGTGTGGAGGAAGGCAGGAGAAGGGGTTAAGCTAAAGAATTTGAACCCCACAGTCAAACACGGAGGTGGAAGCGTAATGGTTTGGGGTTGCTTCAGCTCTGCCGGAACCGGAAATCACGAATTTCTGAACGGAATTATGGATCAGCATATCTACCAAGGTATCTTAAGTCGAAATGCCAAGCACTCGGCCCCCAAACTTGGTCTAGGTCGCCGGTATATCTTCCAGCAAGACCGCGATCCCAAGCACACTGCCAAAACAACTTGGGATTTTTTCAATAAAAATAAGATAAAAGTGTTGGAATGGCCGCCGCAAAGCCCGGATTTGAATCCCATCGAACATTTGTGGGATCACATTGAGAGAAACATCAGAAATTTTGATATCTCTAGCAAGCAGAACCTTAAAACCGCTATTTCTGAAGCCTTCGAAAGTGTGACCACGGAGGTAACCAGCAAGCTCGTGGAATCAATGGGACGGCGGTGTCAGGCAGTGATATCTGCCAAGGGAGGACCCACACGTTATTAAATTACGATTTTGGTTTGTTATTTAATTTATTTACATCAAAATTTGAAATTAAATAAAAATACCAAATAATTATTCCCAAGTTCATTTTAAGTGTTCGCGGGAGAAGATTTATTTACCCCACACAGACTCATCTTTCGAAATTGATTTTCTGGTATTATATTCGCAGTTAATTTGTCTATTAAATGCAAAAATAATCACCGGAATATCTTTGTCAGTATTCCAGAAAAATGCATTTCAATACCAAGCGTTACCACCACCAAATAATATATCTCGGCAGTGTATATAGATATTCGTTTCGACATTGGAGTAAGAAAATGTCGTCTCACTATGTATGCACTATTTCAGAGAAGCAATCTTGTAATTTCCTAAGAACTGATGCATCTGAATCACAAATATAAAGTAAGCTGGCACCTGCAAGATCAAGTCTGAAAATTGATAAATCAATAGAAGCACCGGCATTACCACTCCATATCTGATATTTGAATTGTTTCTTTGTGTTGGTTCCATATTTTATTTCTTTGAGATACAGACACCATTATGTAAAGTGATGATCAGTGTTGAACCTTTCCGTGAAATTTCCAACCTCGTATTAAAATTAAGATTCATTTGCCGGGGAAAAAACAATATCCAACCATAATTTATGGGAACTTTCACAGAAACATGACACTAGGACTTAACCTTAACCGCCTTCTATTGCTCATGATAACTTTGTTTTCCTTCCACCATTGCCTTGGCTATCCGGGTGAATTTTCCTTGACCAAATTCCTAGACGGGGGCCAAAAATGCGACGTGCAGCTTTTTCTCGGTGGGTCAGAACACTTCCTCTTTTCTCCATCCTACGAATATCCGACAACTATAATCTACACGCCAGCTTTTCTGCACGATTTCAGGAGATGGCATCGATTTCCTGAACCCGGCCAGGTGGCGAATTTTACGTTGAACACCCTGCAGCTCCGGATTGGGCAGTGCAGAACAAGTCTATTTTTTAGCTATATGGGCCACATTGATCATGGCGTGAACTGGTTCGCTGCCACAAATCAACATTCCCTACGCTTCAACCAAGAATACGTCGATTCTAGGGAAATTACGCTAATTTTGATCGGATCATCCAAAGCCTTGGGCCAATCATACAATTTTTCCCTCGTTAATTAAGTATCATGGTGCCTTAAATTTTGTTATAGCATTCGCAAGCGAGGATTTCGCTGAATTCGAACTTTGCAGCTTTGCAGAGTGGCAGGGACATGAACTGCATGAAGAAAAAAATTAACTCACCCTCTGAAAAATCTGGATCACATTTCCACTAAACCTGCCTCGTTTTGGTTAGTAAATTTCAATGGTGGAATGAGCTTGGAGACAACATCCCAATATAGGCAAACCAACCCCTTTGAATTTTTGCCAGGAATTTTTGACATGTTACTCCAAATCCTTTGTTACTTTTGAGTTTTATCTGACCGCATTTCCACCACAGCTGTGGACTGGTTTTCTCCTTTCCCTAGTTTTAGTTGTCGGATGCTTGACCGGCTACGTATGCTATGGGAAAGATCTCGATGCGAAAGCGTCAACTTATTAGTAGTACATCCTTTTCTCCATGGTTGTATGTATTGTCTACCCTATTCGAGGAAACTAATTTTGTTCCGTCGGTCTTAGAAAAGAAAGACTGACTGATTGAATCTGGAATTTGGAGAAGATTGGAGCAAGAACAGTGGGCAAGAGATTTGACTCTACGGGGGGAAAAAGTCAAGGGAACGCGAACCCCGGGGAACTGACCGTGTTACCCTTAGTGGTAGCATTTTTACTACATATATTTATCCTTTGCGGGGTTATACTTGGTGTCTCTAGCATTTTCTTAGGACTTGAGTCAGAAAAATGTACTTGTGTATATACCAGAGCTCCACGCCGTTGAAAAATCGTCGGCGGCGGCGTGAGTAGTGAAAACCGTCGGCGGCGGCCGCGCGCCTCGGCGCGCCGTTTGCGACCTCGGCGGCGGCGCGCCACGGCGCGCCGATATTTCTTCCACTGTTTTTCAGTCAGTGATCATAACTGACCTCTTTATTTAGCTTGTTATGACATAGTAATGTATTTCGCGTAGTAATTTTAATTGGTTCAGCGAAGAAATAAGCCGATCCATTTTTTTAATTCGTGTTAATTTGAGTTTTCTGCATTACAGAATTTCAAAAATATTTCTCGACTGCCTTAATAGCCATATAACTCGAT